GATGTCTTCTTTGGAAAAGTGTCTGTTCATATCTTCTGCCCATTTCTTCAATGGATTATTTGTTTTTTGAATGTTGGATTTGATAAGTTCTTTATAGATTTTGGATACTAACCCTTTATCTGATAGGTCATTTGCAAATATCATCTCCCATATGGAAGGTTGCCTTTTAGTTTTGTTGATTGTTTTCTTAACACACCCCCCTCCTACTCAAAGAAAACCAACAATGGCCCACAATAACAACAACACATTCTTCATCTGCCTCCATAATCCTCAGATTCAAAGGAATGGTGCTGCCTGAAGGTGTGCCAGGAGGCTCCCCACCCTCACATCCTCTTCTACCCTTTGCAGCCAAACTTCTTGAAAGAGTTGTCTGCATTCACTGGCTCCTCCAGCCACGGCCAAGTGGCCTCCATCCCCATGGTGCCTTGATGCTCCCTTGAGAAGACAGCAGCCACCTCCTGAATGATCACTGCAGTGGATGCTTCCCCAGTCTGACCTCCCCTGACCTTGTAGCCACATGTGACTTTTGCCACCCCCTTCTCATTGCATTTCCAAGACACATGCTCTTTCTAAAGCATGCTTTAAATAGTAGTTTATTTGTTTATTTAAAGAGTAGTTTAAAGAGTAGTTAACTACTGTTTAAAGAGTAGTTAAATGTTTGTTTTTGAGAGAGAAAGAGGGAGGGGAAAGGGGCAGAGAGGGAGGGAGGGAGAGGATCCCAAGCAGCCTCTGTGCTGACAGGAGAGAGCCTGATGGGGGGAGGGGCTCAAACTCTCAAACAGTGAGACCATGGCCTGAGTGCAAGTCAGATAAGCTTAACCAACTGAACCACCCAGGCGTTTGGCTAAAAAGCGTTTTAAAGAATGCTTTTTATAGGGGTGCTAAGGGTGTCTGGGTGGCTCCGTCAGTTGAGCCTTTGACTTTGGCTCAAGTCATGAGTTTGAGGCCTGCATTGGGCTCTGTGCTGACAGCTCAGATTCTAGGTCTCCTCTCTCTCTGCCCCTCCCCTCTCCAGCGGTCGGTCTTTCTCTCTCAAAAAATAAACATTAAAAAAATGCTTTTCATATTCTTCAGCTCCTCTGGCTGGTTCTTCTGCCCCCACTTCCTGGACTTCTTTCTCCTCTGTCCTTTAAATTTTGCTTTGGAATGTGTGAACGATGTGTCAGAGGTCAGGAGAGATGGAGACAAGGTTTTCCTGGAGGGTCTGGCCTCTCCAGCAAATTTTGTCCCTGGCCTGGTACATGGAGGACCCGGTAGCCTAGAGGGGTTCTGTGCCCCCAGAGCGTTCTCGACTCTCACACTGTAGGGCAAGAAATGGCCGCGAGGAAGGTCCAGGGCTTTGGAGCTCTCCTCTACTGTTTATGAGGGCTTTGAGCTTGAGGCTTTTGCCCGAGGCAGGCCTTCCCAAGGCCAGAAGGACTGGAGGCCGAGCGATGGAACAAAGAGCTTGCGTCTGCAGTCAGATATGGCTGGTTCGGGTCCCAGCCTCTTCTGTACCCCAGGTGACTTAGGACAAGCTTCAAGCTCCAGTTTTTCTCTTCTGGGAAGGGGTTGATACTGTCTGGCAGACAGACTGGGGACTAGACCAGATGGTACAAAAGGAGGCGTCCAGCATGTGACTGCACTTGGTGGATGGCCACTGAGCGTGTGACTGCACTTGGTGGATGGCCACTGAACTTGTCTAGCCCAGCCTCTGGGGCAGAGCGCAGACAGGCAGCTCCTCAGCTAGGAAAAAAATAGAGAAATTTGGAAGGAAGCTTCCACAGAGAAAAGAAGCTGTGTCCTCCTGGAGAGGGTGTTCCTTCAGTCTGCAACCATAAATGAATGAACAATCGAACCAGCTGGGGCCCAGTGGTGGGCCAGGGGGAAGGTAGCACCCCCTGGCTCTTTCTGGTGCTCTATGCACGTGTGTTTGTTTAGTCTGCTCTTCCTGAGACAGAATGAGCTGCTGCTGCTTTTTCTTATGTTTATTTATTTTTGAGGGGGTGGGGCGGGGCAGGGAAAGAAGGGGACAGAGGATCCGAAGCAGGCTCTGTGCTGACAGCGGACTGCCTGATTCGGGGCTCAATTAGACGAACCGTGAGATCATGACCTGAGCCAAAGTTGGATGCCTAACTGAGTGAGCCACCCAGGCGCCCTGGGAATGAGGTTCTTGAGATCATGGGCCATGCTTGTTGTGACCTGTCCCATCCTCTGGCCAGCACTCGACACACAGGAGGTGCCTGGACTCGGCATGACTCTTTCTAGATAAGACATTCTGGGCGGGGGCAGGGGTGCCAAAATCATGGTCCTGGGAAAGAGAAGAATGAAATCCTCAGACCCTCCTCCTATCCAAACATACACAACTGGGCTGCAGGCAATAAAGTAGTGGCTGGATTTCTGTGCCACTCCGAGGCCAAGGTCAAGTTTGCTTCCTTCAGCCCTGGAGTCTCTGGAGATGATAAAAGGCCTACTTGAGAGACCAAATGAGGTGGGTGACGTAGGCATGGTGAATGGTGATGTAGGGTCAGGCTCCTATTGACCTGGTGATACCTTGGGTAACTGAAACTGCAGATAAGGGGACAGGGGATACTGTTGTTGCTGTAATTACTGTTAATATCAAGTGTATTCCCAAAACCTCTGGAGTTCTTTTGAGTTTCAGGGAGGGGTAAGGATGGAGGGCTGGAGTCTGGGGGGTGTCTCCTGGGCAAGGTTTGTCACGGTGGGCCTAGGGTGCTTCTGTGACCTGCAGAGCCTAAAGCAGCGAGCGGGAGGAGATTACAGATTGAAGGACCCCTGGTCAGCTTTCCCCACCTGCCCTGTGCAGATATGCTGTGGGGAGGTGACCCAAAGGTGCCTACCCAGGCAAGATTTCCTGCCTGGATCATGCCCTGCCAGGCTGATGGTATTTCCTGTGGGCACACCAGGGACCTGCTGGTGGACAGAGGGGAGGCGGGTGGTTATACGGAACCCTGGACGATGACAGTGCAGCAGCCAGAGCTGTTAAAAGACCCAGAGGAGACCTTCAAGTGGAAACCTGGGGAAACCTGGGGCTTGTGGGAGAGGCGTCTCAGAGGACTTGGAAACGGTACATTTGGAACAGAAGAGACCCGAGAGCCTCCTCTATCTTCAGATGCTGCATTCCAGTAGATAAACTTGAGAGTAGTAACCTTACGTGTATCTTTTATCTTTCTATCTGCAGCTCCGGGTCTCTGATTAGAACCACCTGTGGGGCAATGCGTTCCCTGTCAATGCAGATGTTCAGATGTAGATGGATGGAACAGCCCCTCGGGAGGTGTGCTATGAAATCATTAGTGACACCAGGGATGGCGAAAGCCCCTCCCATCACTAGATCGCATTTGGTGGCGTGGGTGTGGGCCTTGTGGGTGCGGCAAAGCAGCCCCTTCCCTGGCGGTGACCAGTCCTTTCCTCAAAGGACTGCTCAGAAAATGAGGGCTCCCTATGAGCGTTATCAGAGGTGGTCTGTGGCTGCTCCCCAGTGGACCCTCCAGGCCTGGGACGTGTCCCCCCCCCCCCCGCCACCCCCCAGCCGGAGCCATCTTTCTGCAAATGCGGCTGTACCAGTGATCATTCAGCCCTTTTCCTTCTCCAGGATCTTTCTCTCTTTCCTTTCACCTGCTCCACGGGCATAAGCCTTGGCCACCTCCTTACCTACCTCCTTACCTCCACATAGCCAGGTCAAGGCCAGGTGGACCCTGACCCAGCCTCCTGCCTCCAGATCCTGGATGGCCCCAGAGGTCTTAAGTGCGGGCTGGAGCTGGGTTTCCCATTTTAAACATCCACGTTTATCATGCTGCTGTGCGCTTTGCTTGTGCCTCTGGAGAGAGGTTCCTCCCCTTGTCCTGGGACCCTGTGGGAGCGTCACCCCTTGATCGCCTTCTCGCCCACCCAACGTGGTTCTGGGAGGAGGGACTTTCATTTCGGAAACCATTTATGACCCTTCACAGCGATCTCGTCATGTTGGTAATGCTCCCTTGCCTCAGTGGGTGAGGTAGGAACACTCAGAGTTTGAAATTGAGGGTTAAGAAAGCACCAGGGATGCGAGGAGCTAGGGCTGGAAGGGCACCCTCATGCCACCTCCTGGAAACACAGTCTCTGGGGCCGGGTGGGGCTGCAAATCCAGCTGCTGAAGGGTTGGGGGGAGGGAGGGGGCCTGGAGCCACCATTCAGATGTGCCCTGGGCCAGAGGCAAACCCCAGAGCAGCCTTTGTCACCAGCCCTGCCTCTTGCCCTGGCCAGGTGCCCTGGTGGCATGTCTGGTCCCAATCTCAGTGATGGTGGCACACTGGGGAAGCACCAAGATGGCCTTTCCCAGTGTCCCAGTGGAACTGGGTGGAGTGGGTTACCAGGTCACTGTACTGAGGGTGTCTGGGCCAGGTCCTAGTATGGATTCCACCTGTAGCCACATGTATTCTTGTTGTGCAGGAAGGTTGGCCAACTACTTTGTCTGCTCATTACCACTTCCTGTCTGTCACCCTTATGCCAGCAGAGAGCTGGCGTGCCTAATCTGAAGTTCATCGATCAAACATAGTTTTTTCAGGACGCCTAGGTATCCCAGTGGGTTGAATGTCAGACTCTTTAATTTTGGCTCAGGTCACAATCTGAGCCATCAGGGGATGGAGCCCTGAGTGGGGCTGCACGCTGGGTGTGGAGACTGCTTGGGATTCCGCCTCCCTCTCCCTCTGCCGCTGCCCCACTCATGCTCTCTCAAAAAAAAAAAAAAAAAAATTAAAAAAAGAACATAAAACCCTCGTTTTTTCTTTGAGAACTCAGAAGGTTTGGGGGTGGGGGGGTGATGCCAGAAAGTTACTCTGGGCCGTGCAGTGTCCCGACCCGTTGACCTCCGGGGCCAGCATTTTATCTCAGCAACGCCTTAGCATCGAGCCCCTCCCAGCCACCCCGCCCACTTGGTGCCCGGAGCCCAGAGCTAATTCCTGGGGCCAGCGTCACACCCACCGCGCCCTCCGCAGAGCTGACTTGCCCGCGCTCTGTGTCCACAGGCTGCTCAACAGAATGTCCGCGGACGACAGGCACCTGGGCTCCAGCTGCGGCTCCTTCATCAAGACAGAGCCGTCCAGCCCGTCCTCGGGCATCGACGCTCTCAGCCACCACAGCCCCAGCGGCTCGTCCGACGCCAGCGGGGGCTTCGGGCTGGCCCTGGGCGCCCACGCCAATGGTCTGGACTCGCCGCCCATGTTCGCAGGCGCCGGGCTGGGCAGCACCCCGTGCCGCAAGGGCTACGAAGACTGTGCCGGCGGCCTCATGGACGACTCGGCCATCAAGTGCGAGTACATGCTCAACGCCATCCCCAAGCGCCTGTGCCTCGTGTGCGGGGACATCGCCTCCGGCTACCACTACGGCGTGGCCTCCTGCGAGGCCTGCAAGGCCTTCTTCAAGAGGACCATCCAAGGTGCGTGAAGGCAGGGCAGGGGCTGGGCGCGCGCAGGCAGGGGCGCTCCGCCCGCAGGTGCGGCGGGAAACCCGGTGGTCTCCGCCCGCTGCCAAGTTGGGCCCCAGCACCGCTACAGCAGGGGTTGGTAGCGTCTCTTTCCCACCTCTCAGGGTTTCTGCTTTGGGGCTTCGTCCAGACTCTTAAGTCCACTCCCCGGTGGCGCCCCCAGAAACCCAGGGAAAATCCACGCAGATGCACCGTGCAGGTGCCTCTCACCGGTGTGGGGAACACTGTCGAGAGCGGTGCCTAAGAGCTGCTTTTGGGGAGAAAATCATGTTGTTTGCCCTGCAGTTCCAGACCCTCGCTGTAGAAAGGGTTCTTGTTTTGATGTTTTAACGGCACAAATGAAGCAGGAATATTTTCTTAATTGGGAAAGAGCCGGTCCTCAAGGGCTCTTACAGTGCCTGTGTATCAGCTGAGTCCTGTTCTGATGGCCACGAGGCGGGTTGCCTCTTTCACAGGGTGTGTGAGTTATTCCTATGAAGGTGTGTGAGAGTCCTGGTGGGTGGCCTCTGAAAGGTAACCCACAGTTAACTGGAGGAGGAGGATGAGTCCACCCCCCACCCCAACCCCCTAAGAGCTGTCATCAAGTTCATGGCAGAGGGTCCAGCCCAGGGAATGACCTGGCACATGGTAGCAAAGACTGTGACTGCAGCAGGCCATTGGTAGAGCACTTGGGCCATTCGTTCCATCAGGGATCCATTGAGCACTTACTAAGTGCCAGCCAGTGCACTAGGTGCCATTGATCGGATGGACAAAAAGCCCTCTTCGTGCACGGAACTGAAAGGAGGTGATGCCATTCCACTGGAGCAGAAGCTGCAGCCAGACCAGACAGAACCCAGGGGCACCTGGCCTGTCCCTGGCCCTGCCTGGCTGTCCTCAGGGTGTCTTCCCTCCCCCCTTCCCCATTTCGTTTTTGGAAGAGTCAGGTTGAGCTTTCCTGGGATGACTTGCGGTGTATTCGTTCAACAAATATTTGTTTAAATTTCTTATGACTATTTATTTATTATATTAGTCGAGGGCCTTAAGATTGGCCATGTTTCCAATTCTTTTGAGAGGTTGTGGTGTAGTGGCCATCCAGACAGCTCCATTGGGTACCCTACAGCTAGATGCCCCTGGGCATGCAGCCTCAGTTTCTCTCCAGATTCCTTTCCTTCTCGGTAAGGTGCAGGGCTGTCATTCCTTCCTCACATAGAGATGCTAAAAGAAGAGTGAGTTAAACGTATAAAGCACTTATAATATTGCCTGGTGCTTCGTAAGTACTAAATAAATGCAAGTATGATTTTCACTTTTAGAATATCACAATGCATTATTACTAAGACGACAGACACATAATTTGTTTTATCGTACAGAGCGGGCTTTTGTAATTACATATATTTAAGTAAAATGGTATATTTTGATTTAGGACTTAAATTATTTTGGCTATTTTAGTTGCAGATAATATTTCTTTTTTTTTTTTAACGAACCCTTAAAAACCATGGTAAAAATTCAACCAGTGCAAAACAGGAAAGCAGTAAAAAGAACATTTTCCTATAACCCCAGACTCGGGTTCCTTACACCTTCCTGAGAAGGAGCCATGGTACATGCTGCTTTTAGCAAGTATTTATGGAGCGTGTTCACATCAGGCACTTTGCTAGCCTCCAGTGCGGTGAATAAATGCATCCCGGCCCCTGAGGGCTTCATACTCCTGAGTCTGAGAGGACACCCTAAATCTCTGGATCTGAAAAGCGCTGTGTGATAATTTTAAGCCTTCCGCCTCAGCCAGGGTTGAAAACCTCCAGTCTGCTAGCCAATCAGTATCATTGGGTATTTGACAAATAAACATGAGATGTTTAAACCAATTTAAGTTACTGAGATAGCAACTGTTTTCTTCCCGGATCAGGAAGCGGGTCTGGTAAGATTGTCATTATTTCTTAGATTCTTTGAGGTCAGCTTTGGAAAAATTGCTTTTTAGGAGACAATCCCATGCTCTTTACTCCACATTGTTCTGGAGTGAAGCTGGAAGGTTCTGGATCAAATTTTCTAACAGGAGAGGCTGGTGCAGGAACCCTGCCATCCCTCACCAGAGGCCCGGGTGCGGAGAGTATCCTCAGCACACCAAGAGCCCACAGGAAGGATTTGTAAATAGTTTTAATTACTTGCTCCACGAAGAGGATAGTGATCTTTTCCTAGAAGTCCGAGGACAAGCAGCAGCATGTAATGCAGTCAGAACTTAGATGCTCCTGTCTTTTTTCTCTGTCCCAAGTTCTGGTTCTCATTTAGAACCAGGAAGAGGTTTCCGTTTAGAACCGGGAAAAGTACATTCTACAGGTGATGGTTTCCTCCGGTTATTTTATTAGGTCTTTGGTTTTGTTCTGACATGGATTTTGACTTCGTTGTTTCTGAACATAATGGTTGTAGAAAATTTGGAAACATAGTTAAAGGATAAAGAGAAAAACCAAAATTGGACAAGCTCAGAGACCAGCGGGTACCGTGTGAGTGAGAGAGGTACTGGGCGGGAGTGGGGGGCAGGAGAGGAGAACGTAGCACCTGCGCTCAAGACCCTGGCATCTAAAGCTTAGAGAATGTGAGTTTGCAGGCCTGGCCTAAGGCTCCAAACCAGGGTACGGTCCCCTAAGCATGTGACCAACTGGGGTGACTCAGTCGGTTAAGCCTCTTACTTTGACTTAGGTCATGATCTCACAGTTTGTGAGTTCAAGCCCCGCGCCAGGCTCCTTGCTGACATCAGAGAGCCTGGTTGGGATTCTCTCTCTTCCTCTCTTTCTGTCCCTCTCCCCCCAACTTTAAAAAAAAATAAAGAGGATATTCAGGCCATTTTTTTAAGTCTGGTAGCTTGGACTGAGGGCCTCATCACAGGATGATCCATTCACTAATTTACATAAATGCTTGGAAAAAGCTCTGAAGTCATGGCTAGCTCATATTCTGTCTCCTTAGATCCCTTCAGTCTCTCAATTTGATGGTAATACCAATATGGAAAGAAGTTTATAGAAACAAGGACGTCATGGTAAACATATGGGGAAAAACCCTCAGACAGTTATTTTCTTTTAAATTTTATTATTTTTTTTTTATTATTTTTTTTTTAATGTTTTACCTATCTCTAGGAGAGGGAGAGAAAGACAGCGTGAGCAGGGGAGGGTCAGAGAGAGAGGGAGTCACAGACTGAAACAGGCTCCAGGCTCTGAGCTGGCAGTCAGCGCAGAGCCCGACGCCCGACGCGGGGCTCGAACCCACGAACCGCGAGATCATGACCCAAGCGAAAGTCGGACGCTCAACCGACTAAGCCACCCAGGCGCCCCTTAAATTTTATTTTTAAGTAATCTCGACACTCAACGTAGGGCTCAAACCCACAACCCCGAGATCCACTGACTGAGCCAGCCAGGTGCCCCCAGCCATTTCTTTCCTGTAAATGTTTCTTTTTTTTTTTAAATAGTTTATTGTCAAGTTGGTTTCCATATAACACCCAGTGCTCATCCCCACAAGTGCCCTCCTCCATGCCCATCACCCCCCTTCCCCTTACCCCCATCCTGTAAATATTTCTTGAGTACTCTGTGCAGCACTGTGGGGCTGGGGGAAGGGGCTGGGAGAGGTGGGCTGAGGACACCCTACAGACTGAAGCCAGCTTTTGTCAATCAGGTTGGATTAGGACCTTGCCGCACCTATTCGTTTACATAGACTCTGGCTGCTTTGGTGCTGCTGCCGCAGGGTGTCACAAAGCGTAGTTTACTGTCTGGCCCTCTACAGAAGAAATTTCCATTCCCCTGTGCTATAGCATCGAACAAGGTAGGGACGGTCCTTCTGCCCTCCAGGGGCTTATGATCAACCCCTAGCAGTGCACTTTAAGTGTTGAGTACAGCTTTGCCTGCTCGGATTCTATGTGAAAGCGAGCTCATTGCCTGTGTGGAGGTGGTGATGACACCAAGAACAGCTTAGACACAAAAAAGGCACCTTCCTGAAGGGACGCTGGCTCCACAGTCAAGGAGATAATCCTGGACCTGACTGAATTTACCAGCATTTCTAAGGGGGGGAAATGTGCTTACCTAAGAGGATTGATCAGCCCCGGAGGCATAGAAAAAGAAGGCAGGCTTTGGCAAAGGCACCACTCCTAAGAAATGGGAGTCAGCCTGGGGACAGACTGATGTCATTAAACACTCAGTTGATGTGATTAACATCTTTCTGATTATGATCTAGTCCCCCCCCCCCCCCCCCCCCCCCAGGTCTTCTGCTCTTTTGCTTGGAGTGAACTTGCTGGTTAGGCACATCAGTTTCTTTGTACTTGAATGTCCATTGTGGGGCTTATACATCAGGCTTCATAGTTTGGTCAATGTGAGTCTGGCCCTGAGAGATGGAGCTCCTTTCTGGACTAAGATACTGACCTCACAGTAATGAAAACCTTTGTAATGAGTAGCAAAGTGATGAAGTGCCCTTTTGGGGAGCCACCTGGGGGCTTTTCCAGGATGTATCCCCAAACCTTCACCCTGTCATCCTGCCTCCTGTTCCCCTGAGAAACTAGAAGCCCTCAGTGGGAACGCCCTTAGTTGTTGCCAACAGGGCTACCCATCACCCCCTGCCCTCACCCCTGCACACTCGCACTCGGGGATTGCTGCCCACGACCACTGCAAGAAGTGTCTCCCGCCCCGGGCTCTGGGCAAATCCCATCTCCTCCCCACTTCCTGGAGACCCTCCTACCCACTATCGCCTCTTCTACCCTCTCACTTCCTCGCCTCCTCCCTTCTGCATTTAAATACTTCTGGTATCTGCAGTCAAAGACAAAGAAAACAAGACAATACCCACACCCCCTCAACTTTCAGCTTCCAGCCCACCTTTCCCTTCCTCTTCTCAGTTCTTGACCAGCTTTCCTGCCCTGTATTATCTACTTCCCGTGCTCCCCATGCTGTCCTGATGAGTCCCAGTTCAGCCTCCCCACCACGCTCCAGTGCCTTCAGCACCCACAGAACATT